CGATACGTGCGGCAATAACTATAATCACAGAGATTTCAATATATTACTGACTGATTTACTCCCAATATCTTTAAAATGACATTGGATACTGTTTTTTTAACTCTTTAAGTATTTCATTGGAAGTAAGAATTTATAGAGTGTGTTCCTTGATGATATGCGAATATTCAAGAGTGTGAATCTACATAAAAAATTGTGCAGCAAACTAGGTGAACATTGCATACTCATCACTGTGTGTTAGGGTTGACATCCTGTCTTTTTTTAAATAAATGAGAATTTTAATAACGTTGTATAGTAGACGACAACGATATTGTATTCGTTTACATTTTTTGCCAATAGTCATAAAACGGCTATAAAACCGAGAACCAGAGGCATGAGGACAGAGACGGATGTGCAAATTTTCAAACATTTTCTCGTGCAAGTCTGGATGAGATGAGTGATGACTGAATCAAGTTGTTGAAGTAACGTTGATTGCTATTGTAATTAATTATCTAGACATTACTTTTCACGCACTTTAAGATCATTCACCTAAACACATATTTTATTTCGCTTTCACACTTTACTTCTTTATTTAAAAGATGTGCTACAAAACTTAATCCTTTTCTTCCGAAGAATATGTTCCCGAGTACCGCTCTGCTGCATCACGCTGGATTCACTTGCGTGCGATATTGAGGTTAGAAACGAGCAGTACGTCGTATGCGACGTCCTGTAAAATGTAAAAAGAAAATGCCTATTGTAGGTTTTACGTTATGTTCTAATATGAGAACAACCTTAACAGGTAATGTAATACAGAACATGAGAAAAAAGTGATTTTCCAACCTCAATAGCTAAAACATTTTTACATATACTAACTAACTAACATACTTCTAAGTATTTTTTTAATTGGTTCAAGAAAAAAACGTTGAACCAAAAAAGCTTCATTCAAAATATACTAAGTGACATATAAATCCGAACACCCAGTTTAAATGGTTTTATTTTAATAAAAGTTGGTGAATGTATTTATCTTATTGTAAATAACAAGTTAAAAATTGTTCAACCTTATCAGTTGGACATTCTGGTTTTTATACTGCTTTTTTTTAATTCACTAACGCTCTAAAAATGAATATTTCAGCCGCAGTAAAGAATCAACGTTGGCGGATTTTGGTTTTTGACATCCTTTACGATCGGTTACGATGCCTAGGGTACGGAGACCTGTACGATTTCGTCAACTTAGTGAGTTTGATAGGGGCCGTATAGTGGGACTTCGGGAAGCTGGATTTTCTTTTCGGACAATTGCAGTTAGAGTGCAAAGAAGTGTAGACACTGTGGTTAGGTGTTGTCAGGCATGGCGTCGAGAAGGCCGTACGCAAAGAGCAAGGGGCACTGGACGCCGCCGTAGAACAACAGACCGTGAAGATCGCCGCCTAAGATTATTGGCCTTAAGGGACCGTTTCTCCACTACCAGGTCCATTGCAAATGAATGGTTTGCAGAACACGGAAGACCTATTGGCATGCGAAGTGTTTACCGACGAACGAGCAGTTTTGGCTTGTTTTCATACCGGCCACACTGGGTCCTCCCTTTAACTCGAGAACACCGACGTAATCGCCTTGAGTGGTACAGACAGCGGTCACTCTGGGATCAGGAATGGAACAGTATTGTCTTTAGTGACGAGTCTCGATTTTATTTAGGCATGCACGATGGTCGTGCCAGGGTTAGAAGGCGACGTGGTGAAAGGAGGAATTCACAGTTTTTTGTTGAAAGACATATTCATCACACTGTTGGAGTTATGGTTTGGGGTGCTATAGCTTATAGTTCCAGGTCACCTTTAATCTTCATCAGAGGTAACATGAACGCGCAGCGTTATATCCACGAAGTTCTAGAACCCCATCTTTTACCCTATCTTGACACCCTGGCAGATCCAACTTTCCAACAAGATAATGCCCGACCACATGTTGCAAGAGTCACAATAGACTTCTTTCAACATAATGATGTCACATTGTTACCATGGCCACCAAGATCTCCCGACTTATCCCCAATTGAGCACGTGTGGGATATGATGGGTAGGAGATTGCTCAATTTGCACCGTCCTCCTCAGACTCTAGAAGCACTTCGAGAGGAGTTGGTGGTTGCCTGGAATGAGATACCACAGGAGGACATTGACCACCTGTTCACCTGATCAGAAGCATGCCTAGGCGCGTTGGAGAATGCGTAGCACATCAGGGTGCATCCACACATTATTAAAGGTCAAAGGGCTTTAAAGCAGTGCAATCATTTTGAAATTTTTATCATTTACTCATTATGCTTTATTAAGTGCTTATAAAATTTTATTAAAATAAAATCATTTAAACTGGGTGTTCGGATTTATATGTCACTTAGTATAATATAGAACAAACAAAACAGAATTAATTTTAACTGCTTAAAGGTGATTACTTAACGTTTATTTCTTTTGTCGTAGATTGCTGTATAGTAAATTGTTGTAGTAGCTAGTAGCTTCGCTGACGATCAGTGGACGTTTATCTTGTTTTCATACAACGGCTGTGATATTCATCTTTTTTTTCCCTAGAGGGCAAGTTTTCAATTGGGTATAACTAAGTAATGTCATTGTTTTTGCATGTTTCCGATACCTCATGGGATTTTACTGCGTTAAGAGTACATGTTGGCGTTTCTAACTACAAAACATCAAATTTGTGACAGTCATCTTTTTTCCGCTGTTCCATTCATATGTCATTTAACATCGAATAAATATATTTGATTTCCAAAATTTTCGCGATTATTCGTGGGAAGTGGAAACATTCTAATTCATCGGAACCAATTCGAGACTTCAAGAAGCATTAAACAAAGAAACCTAGATCTGTCAGATCTGGTTATTCGGAAGGCTGGTTCAAATCGTCAAACCGGGAGATTAAAATAGTTTGTCAATTGAGGAGATGAAATTTCGACCTGTATTACTTTTTCATATTCACATTCAACAACTTTACGTATTTAAATATTTTTTTTTTTTAATTTCCAATTCACTTTATGACATTTTCCTGACTTTGTATATTTAAAAATGGATATGATGAATTACATTGACCCAGCCTCGTCAAAATAATCTCCACAATCTCGAACTGTCTTCTCCATATCTTATTTAATGTTCTGCGAAACGATATATACGTATATACGTATATCCAAGTATTTCATCAAGGTGGTTGAATAGCTCGCACCTAGTGCGGGTTTCGAAATCCAAACGCCGAGCCTGCCTGTATGAGAGATTATCACTGCAGGAGCCTCACATAATTCCGAATTACTTGGCCACAGTGCGGGCCATAGCTTCCTTAAGGCTATATTAGAAACTTACACATATAGCGTCTGTAAAATATTGTTTTGTGTATGAAAGGCGGTTTCGTGGGTCACTGATGTGCTTACGAGGGTCTTTTGTTTAAGTAAGAACCGCTTCATAATATAGTCAGAGAAACTTTATTCATTAATGTAAATTGTATCTCAAACTGAAATATGAATACTTATACGCTCCCGACCTCGGTAACTCTATGCAACTGTCAGCCAGATCATAGATTTACCCGTACATTTACGTTTAAAGCAGAATGATAGAGAAATGTCTTCGATTAGTATACCCCTGCCTATCCAAGCGCACCCCCTGGCGAACCAGCCCAGCTAATATATGTATCTGTACTGAAGCGGAAGACACATACGGACCCTGCATGAAACGAAAGATAACTGCGCTGAAGCTACATCATGCCGATGTGGAAAGAGACAACGTTGCCACATGGTCAATAAATACTAGTAGGGCAGGGAAAGAATGTCTATGGACTTATTGCATGGGTCTGTTTGACTGGCTTAATACGTTTAATGTCTATGTCGTACATGCCAACATTCCAACATTTGTCAAGTCGTGGCATCAGCTTTTGGATCCCGACTTCAAAGAACGCTTCCGTTAAACCAGTTAGTAACAGATGCTTTCAGCATGTCATCATTTCCAAGAGCTCTCCACTAAGAAATTCTTTAGGCTTTGGAAAAAGATGGAAGTCAGGTCTGTATGATGGATGATCCAGTAGACGTGAGGCCGAGCATTGTCGTGAAGCAGAACGACGCTAGAGAGCTGACTCTTTCGGCGGTTTTTTCAAGAAGTTGCTGGTGAATTTCAGCAGGATGATACCTTTTTGCGTTTAAAAACCGAATTACTGAGCGCACTTCACAACCAGTGGACTTACTGATTGACATGATGATCAACAAAGCAGTATCACAACACAACCAACTCCCACAGCATAGCATAATGGCGGCGTAGTGAGAGACTGGTCAAGAGTGTCAGGGGTTAAACCGACGTCAGGTGACAAGACGTGCAAAACCGATGCGCAATCGGTTCTTACTCTAAAAAAAGTCCTCATATAATATATGAAGAAGATCAACTCATGGTGAATTTATCAATTTTTTGGTCCTATAGAAGTGTCAACAGACAAATGAAACTTCAAATTTTTAAAGTATTCAGGGACGAACTGAAATACGTGTATTTCTTGACCATTCCATTAGAGATAATGAAAATTAAAAAGTAGGACATTTAATGATAGATGTTCGGTCATTTAACCTTTCACTGACAAGCAACTATTGTAAGCGTGAAAGATTTGGAAAATGCGATATAATGTGTTTTGGATGTTACGTCATGTATATACAGGGTGCTCCTTAATGATATGCGAATATTTAAGGGTGTGAATCTATATGAAAAATTAATGTTAGTTTGCTTTATAAACTATGGTCCAAAAATGTTTCCTTAGAAAATCTCGGGGTGTTGAGGTTTTAGAAAAAAAATGGAAATTAATTAATATTTTCAGAACCGCTTCAGATATTCTACTGATATTCAGTACGTAGCGAAAGTTGATAAAGTTGCATATTTTTCAATGCAAAAATAATTTTTAGGTTTAACTGTAGCGTACGGGTATTGACTTCAACATTTTTCAAGAAAAAAATGGTACGCCAATGGTTTTCTGCCAAATGTAAATTATTTTTGAATTCCCCGTTCAATTTAAAACAAATGATCTTCCTTGAATTGTATTTATCCGATGCGCCATTTTTGAGTAAAAAATGTCTAACTTGCAAAATTATTATTAGAGAGATATTGCATATGGACCTAAATAAGGGTATGCATTATTTAGGTGAACCTAAATAAGTACAGTGGAATTAGAGATATTGCACATGTAACGTATTTTGACAGTTCGCTTTGATGGTGTTTATCTTAACCTCACTTTTCCTTCCAGTTTTTGCTTGCATAATATAGGTGGTTCGTAGTTGAAATTCTACCAAAGGTGTGAGAAGTGAGATTGTAAAATGGAAGCTGAATTGGAAGCAGTTATATTGGCAGGAGCAGATGAGGAGGAAATAGAACATATCATCCTCCATAATATATTTATTGATAGAGGCATTACTCATACAGCACAATTCAACTTGGAAAACTTGCCAGATGAAGTAATAAGACTAAATTTTCGATTTGAGAGGTCTGACCTTCATAGGCTGATGGCTGTTTTACGAATACCTTCAGAAATTGTCACTATCACACGTAATAAAGTGGATGGTATGATTTTGTTTAAATATTTATTGCTATATGTTCATCATTTCAATCGAACTCCATCCTCTGACTCAAACAACACTTGCCAGAGGCTGGAATTCTATCAACATGAAAACCACAGTATAAGTTCCATTTATCTTCTTTCAGGTTTAACAGCATTGTGCATTCTACTAAGACGGCTGGCATATCCAAACAGATTGTGTGATATGGTCCCTATGTTCCACTTGTCAACTCAGTCTTTGTCACAAATCATAAATAAATTGATAAGTGTGATTATGGAGGAGCATGCTGTACTTCTCAACAATTTGAATTCATTGCAGTGGTTTAATAGGGAGAAGTTGGAGTATTATGCACAGGTATTGTATTGTGTAATATAGTTGAAGTGATGGTTGGTTCATAAAATGCTGAAATGTGCTTTTTGTAGGCTATTCATAATAAAGGAGCACCTATGAATAATTGTTGGGGTTTCATCGATGGTACAGCAAGGAAAATTTGTCGACCCTCTGAAAATCAAGAAGAGTATTATTCAGGACACAAAAGGTATCACTGCATAAAATTCCAATCAATAATTTGTCCTGATGGAATTATTGTTAGTTTGAAAGGCGCATATCCGGGAAGAAGGCATGATGCCAGAATATTTAGGGAGTCAGGTATCTCTGAAGAATTAGTGCAAAAGACATGTTTTGACACAAGACGATTTGTTTTATTTGGTGATCAAGGATATGGGCTGAGTGATGTGCTATTTACCCCATTTCATGGCAGAATGGAAGATTTACCTGCCCATCAGCAGAGTTTCAATTCTGCTATGAAAGTTCTAAGGATAGCAGTAGAATGGGGTTTTCAGAAAGTCATATCAGAATTTGCCTTTGTAGATTTTTCAAAAAACCAAAAAATGCTACTTCAAGACGTTGATGCTTTATACAAGGTGGCTGTACTACTTACTAACTGCCATACATGCCTGTATAGTAGTCAGACTGCTATGTATTTCAATACAAATCCACCTTCACTTGAGACCTACATAGGCCACTGATAAATAGAGGACATTTTGGGTTTGAAATACTCGTTTGCTTTCCATCGCCGCAGCCAAGACCAACCGCAGACAGCGCTGTTTCGGGCTCTTTAGCCCTCATCAGTATGGTATAGGTCTGTATCAGGTCCAGCCGTGAAGGCGGACAAATGGAAAGTAAACAAGCGAATGTGGTCTATCAAATAGCGGGAAGACGGTAAATGTAAAAGATGGCTCGCGCCATCTAAATTTCGCTAGAACTAGTTTCTTTGCAATGGAAAGCAAACGAGTATATCAGACTATATTATTGCATGTTCTGCAGAAAATGCTATTGTTAGTTTGTCCTGTGAACGCCTTGCGTTACGACTCTGGTGGCCGGCTACTGTTGGTTGGTACCGGGGTATCTGTACTCTGTACAATTCATCTGAGTCAGCGACCAGAAATCGTAAGGGGTTTCTGCTTTGCCTGCGTCGTCATTGACGAAACTTGCAAAGAAACTATCTCTAGCGCAAATTTAGATGGCGCTAGCCATCTTTTACATCTAAATTTTGGGTTGTTTCTAACTTGTAACGCTTGATGATAATTTGTAATTTTTTATAGACTTGTAAGACCAATAAAGCTTGTTTGGAATGTATGTTTATTTATTTTACAACCATAAGGGCAGCAAGCACCCAATAAGAGATTTCAAAACTAAATTAGTATGTTGCTGAAAATATATGAAATCAACTTCTTCAGGAGTTGTGGATGAAATATGTTTGATCCTGAAGTTACACAGTTTTACTATGTTCATACATGGAACCAGTTGCAGAATCAATTTCATATATTTTCGGCAACAAACTTGGTTTGTGCTCACCATCCTTAGCATCAACATTATTATTTCAATATAAGGCCAGTATATTATTTTTTTAATGGCAAATTATCTATTATCAAGTTTTGTCAGTAATGCTTCAATAAGCTTTTGTTGTGTTTTGATGAGGTCACTCAAGTTTTTTCTTTCAGCGACATCTTGCTCAGATTTCTTTTGTTCTAACTCTATCCTATGTTTTTTTTCTTGAATTTCTGCCTCAAGCCTTTTAGACTCCAAGGCAAGTCTTGCTTTGTCATTTGCAATTTTTTCTTTTTCATTATCCATTTTTTGTTCTTCTAACTTGAGTTCTGCAGATCTTATTTCTCGTGATATTTCCGCTTTTTCTCGTAGGTAATCAAGGCCATTTTTTCTCAATGTTTTACTTTTGTTCATCCTTTTGGTACGGGGGGCTGTAATGATCGAAAAGTAAGTAACAGCAACAATAAACAAATGTATTTAATCTTGAACATGAAATGTAAGAGGTAGTTTTGAGCTTTCTGTTTTATAGGTAATGTATAACATACTAGAAACTACTTAATCTAGTAGTAGCCCTCTGAATGGGATGCCATGGCAATGCTATATACGCTGTAGTCATCTGGATCCACTATTTGGTTAGTCTGGCCTGTAAATAAAACCGCAGTGCTAAACAAAAGAAGTTCACTGACAGGTTAGTCATTGCACTGGCTTTTATCAAAGTATATAACATAAGTACCTACACATTTTATATCGAGCACTGGTTTTATTTACTGGTCATACTCCATAACCTGTGGATCTGTTTTAGTGTTTCTATTACTGAAGATTCAAGCAGTAATTCTAATCATTGTTTTACCTGATATCTGTTTTGCAGTTCCAACATCTTGTACAGATATCTGTTTTGCAGTTCCAACATCTTGTACAGATATCTGTTTTGCAGTTCCAACATCTTGTACAGATATCTGTTTTGCAGTTCCAACATCTTGTACAGATATCTGTTTTGCAGTTCCAACATCTTGTACAGACTTATTATTATTTTCTGTGTCAACGTCGACTGTAACACAAACACCTAAAACTGTGATAATATAGTAATATGTATAAAAAATGTTTAGAATAGTTATTTTACCGTAATCATGGTCGATTAAAGTGTCATCCACATCAGAAAAGGCCAGCAGTGCCATAGCCTCTCTTTCATTGCGTGTCTTTTCAATCATATCTTTCGCTTTGTTTTCCACTTTTTTCTTTTTTGCTGGTGTAGTTGAGCAGGTCTCTTTCATTAACTCGCTGGCTTCTTGGAGCATATGTTCTCTTTCATTATAGACTTCTTCTATGCCAGACCTGTCAAACACAAATGTTGTTTCACCAAGTCTTACATTAAGCATTCTCTTGTTATTAAAATACATGTAGGTACAGTGTGCTATCTTATACTTACTTGACTTTGCTGTTAACCTCCTTTTTGAGGAACAGCTCCAGAAGATGGTTCAGATGCTTTTTTATTGTTCTCAAAATAAATTCTTTTCCCGTAAGCTCTCGCAAGTTCTGTAAGATTGAGTCCCACTTCTCAGGAGAACGGATAGGGTTTTGTGCAATAAATTCACGCAGCAAAATCATTTCGTCGTCATACGTGAACCTTATTCTCTTTTTATCCATATTCATAGTTACCAAAACGCTTCAGCAATCGTTGAATTTTGAGAGTACAAATTTATAGGTTAAATAGGCTTGCGACGACACCCGATTTGCTTAGATCGTGAATCGTCGTGACATAAGAACGCCTAAATAAGCTCCCCCTATTATAGCTTAAATAAGGACGTGCCTTATCCCTATTAATTCCTCATAGATACAGAATTGTATGTGCGCATGCGTAGATGTCAAAATAAGGTCTGCACTAATAAGGCAGATGTTTGCAATATCTCCCTATTAACTTAATTGGAAAATTCAAACTGATTAGGGGTAATGACCAACAACAACAGACAACATAACCGTAATATTAAAACCAACAAAATGATTACAAAAATTGTTGAAAATGGTCCTCTTCACTTAGTATGCATGCTTCCGTCCTCCTTCTCATCTAATTGCGCACTCGTTGTAATATCCCTGGAGTGTTTTTTATTCTATCACAAGCTGCAACTATTCTTTCTCTTCATTCCTCTACAGTGTTAATAGGACTTGTGTACACTAGTGTCTTAAGATAGCGCCAGAAAAACAAATCTGAACTGTTGAGGTCTGGGGACCTTGGTGGCCATTCTTGGGGCCCACCGCGGCCAATCCAACGATTTGGATAAACAGTTTGTAAATTATTACGAACCGCTACAATGAAATGCGTTGGTGCACCATCATGCATGTACCACATATTGTTTCTTATTACTAATGGAACATCATCAAGCAGCAAAGGTAACTGTTGTTGAAGAAAATTGAGGTAAGTCTGTCCGTCAAGTCGTCCCGGCAAGAAAAATTGGCCAATAACTCCTGCCCATACGTTAACCGAAAATTGGTGTTGTAAATGGGCTTCGGTTACGGCATAGGGATTTTCTTCTGCCCACAAATGATTACTGTGGAAATTCTAAATGGCATTTCGAGAAAAAAAAAAAGGTCACACGCCTTGGAAAATCAATGGGAGGTAATGCTCTTAAAATATGGTGAGGATATAAAAAAAATCCACTGAAATTATAGAAACAATTTGATCGCAAATATTTAAGTGTCTAGCGATCTTCCTCGTACTCGTTTCAGGATGTTCTTCGACTTCGTGCAGCACTGCTTCCTCAATTTAAGGTGTTCTCATACTTAGAGGTCAACCTTCAGATGTTCCTTTTCGAACCGAACCTGTTTCAACGAGACTACGATGAATATTAGAAAGGGTTCGACTATCTGGCAAAGCACGATCGGTATATCTAAGGTGATAAGTCCGTCTGGCTTGCTTACCATTACCGTCGGCAAGGCCAGATACGTAATGCATTCCCGCCAGTTCTGCATTTGAATAATTGACTATTATTGACAAGATTGTAAAAATTAAATAGCGAAAAAGATATCACAACGAACAGAT